AGTTTTCTAAAATTCTGTTCATCTTCTTAACGTATTTCTTATTTATTTTATGGTTAGATTTATCTATCTCTGAGAGGGGGAAAGTTGAGGTCCCCTACTAGTATAGTTTTATTATCTGTTTCCTTTACCAATTTTTCCTTTAAAAAGTGGGATGCTATGCCATTTGGTGGATATATGTTTAATATTGATATTATTTCCTTGTTTATGGTACTTTTAGCAAGATGTAGTTTTCCTGGTTATCTCTGCATTAGGTCTGTTTTTACTTATGCTTTTCTGAAATCATAATTGCTATGCTTGCCTTTTTTTTTCTATTTCTGCTGAAGCATAACACATTCTGCTCCAGCCCCTTATTTTAACTCTTTGAGTATCTTTCTGTTTCAGATGTATTTCTTGTAAATAACATATTGTTGGCTTCTGCTTTTTAATCTATCCTGCTATACCATTCATGGTTTTGATTACTAACTGTTCATTTCCCTCCGTCCTATTTTCTTCTGTTTATCCTTCTCTCATTTTACCTTATCCCTCCTCAAAAATTCTGTTTTCCTTCTGACCACTGCATCCCTTAATCTGCCTTCCCTTTTATCACAATACCCCTCAAATCTCATTCCTACTTTGCTGTCAGGTAAGATAGATTTCTGTACCCAGTTGAGTGTGTGTGTGTGTGTGTGTGTGTGTGTGTGTGTGTGTGTGTGTACATACATATATACGTATACTTACATACACATATTTTTTTTCTTCTCTCTTTGAACCAATTCAGAGGAGAGTGAGGTTCAAGCATCGCCTACCTCCCCACCATTGTAAAAGCTCTTTCTTGAGTGTCTCTTTTATGTCGGATAATTTTCCCCATTCTTTCTATTCCTTCCCTCTTTTCCTCGCATATTTCTTTCTTACCCATCCATTTTTTTTAGATCATCCCAACATAATTCACCCGCATGTCCCCTCTCTACATAGACTACTTCTAATTGCCCTAATAATGATAAAGTTCTTATGAGTTAGATGTGTCACCTTCCCATATAGGCATATAAACATTTAACTTTATTGAGTTCCTTGTGATTTCTCTTTCGTGTTTACTTTTTTCTGCTTCTCTTGCATCTTATATTCATCTCTGATCTTTTCTTCAGGAATGCTTGAACATCCTCTATTTCATTAAATATCCATTTCTCCCCCTGAAAGAGTATCCTCAATTTTTCTGAGTAAGTTATTCTTGGTTGTAATCTTAGCTCCTTTGCCTTCCAGAATATCATATTGAAAGCCCTCTCTGCTCCTTTAACGTGGAAGCTGCTAACTCTGCTGTGTTCCAGACTGTGGCTCCATGGTATTTGAATGGTTTCTTTCTGGCTACTTGAGGTATTTTTCTCTCTGACCTGGGAGCTCTGGAATTTGGCTATGATATTCCTGGGAGTTTTCATTTTGGGGATTTCTTTCAGGAGATGATCTACTGATCTTTCTTGCTATTACTGTTTTACCCTCTGGTTCTAGGATATTAGGACAGTTTTCTTTTATAATTTCTTGAAATATGATATCTAGACTCATTCTTTGATCATGGCTTTCAGGTAGTCTAATAATTCTTATCTCTCTTCAATTTATTTTTTGGGTCAGCTATTTTTCCAATGAGATATTTTACATTTTCTTCTATTTTTTTTCCCATTCTTTTGACTTTGACTCTTGATGTCTCATGGAATGATTGATTACTTTTCCACTTGACTGATTCTAATTTTTAAGGAATTGTTTTCTTCAGTGAGATTTTGTGCCTCTTTTATCATTTGGCCAATTCTGGTTTTTTGAGGCTTTGTTTGTAGCTGTTTTGATGTGATTACTATCTTCTGATTTTGTTCTTGATCTTCCCTGTCACCATAGTGACTTTTTATGGTCAGGCTCTTTTTTGTTTGCTTAATTGTTTAAGAAATGGTTATTGAATATTTAGAAATGAAAGTAGTACTTAAGAACAGGTCTTGCATGCTGAGTTTAAACTAGTTTCCTTTTTGGCAGAGACACCAAAATAGGAGATTGGGGAATGCTGCATTTTAAAGTGCCATAAACTATTCTGGTAGAAAAGATGGAGAGATATGGGCTAGCTAACAGTCCTACTAGTTAAATTTAGAGCAAGTTGAAATGGTTTGATGTCAGCTGAAAAGATTTTCAGTGGAGTACCCCAGGCATCTGTGCTCAGTCCTGCGTTCATTAGTATTTTTTGCAATAACTTCAATAAAAGCGTTGACAAATGTTGCAAAGCTAGGAGGCCACAGCCAGCTTACTAGATGAGAAAGTCGGGATCTGAAGAGATCTAGAAGATTGTGATAAATCTGGTAAGATGAAATTTAATAGGGAGTAAATATAAAGTCTTGAACTTGGGAAACAAGAAATAAGTTCAGTAGGCCCAGATTAGAGAAGCAAAGTTAAACAAGTTAGTCTGAAAAAAAAAATGAGGGTGTTAGTGTACTTAAATAAGAGCCAACGATGAAATATGACAGTCTCCCAGAAAGCTAATGGAGTCTTGGGCTACATTTAAAGGCAGAGCTTCCAGGAATAAGAAGTTGATCATTTCCTCTACTGTTGCATAGGTATAATATTGTGTATAGTCTTTTTTTTTTTCTGGCTAGACAATGGGGTTAAGTGACTTGCCCAGGGTCTAGTAAGTGTTATGTGTCTGAGGCAGGATTTGAACTCGGGTCCTCCTGAATCCAGGGCTGGTGCTCTATCCACTGCACCATCTAGCTGCCCCAATATTGTGTATAGTCCTTGACACCACAATTTACAAAGGATTTTGACCATCTGGAGAGCATTCCCATAAAGGTAACCAAGACAGTGAATGGCCTTGAGTCTTCATGTGAATCTTCATATGAAGATCTGTTGAAGGAACTGAGGATATTTAGTTTGGAGGATAAAAATGTTTTACTTGGTTTGGGGTTTTTGTTGTTGTTGTTGTTGTTGTTGTTGAGGGGAGGTGTGATGGGGCGAAAGACTGGTATAATAGCTGCTCCCAAGCATTTGAAAGGGTAGTTATATAGGAAAAAAATTAGACATGTTCTGTTTGTTCCTGTTTCTGGTGGGGCCAGTGCCAACTTGAAAAGAAGCAACTTTAGGTTTGATATGAGGAAAAACACCCTCACAATTCTAGAGCTGTGCAGAAGTGGAATGGACAGCCTTAGGAGTTTTGGTTGTGTATTCACCTCATTGGAGGGCGTAGGCAAAGGCTGGCTGACCGCTTACCAGGTGTGTTGCAGTCTTTTTAGATATGGGCTTCCAACTCTAAAATTCTGTCATTCCCTTATCAGTACTGTTATTTTTGAAATTTTGCAGCTGACCTAAGCCATCTTTTTAAAGTGAGTATACACTTAACCACCCTACATTTTGATTTTTTTTTTTATATTCAGTGGAAAGGATTTTGTTCCTACAGTTGCAATAGATCTGCAAAAGATAGTGGTACCTACCCCCTTGCAATATGATAACAGAAGTGAATTTTTAATTCAAGATAAAGAAGAATGACTGAGACTGAAAGTTAAAACTACACAACATTCACAAGTATTTGCAGCATTCCCCAGCACGAAACATTTTCAAAATAATGCTACTGCCAGTGTTAAGTGTACATACCAGCAAACTGCACCTCACCTTTGTTATGGATGATTAGAAAGACATTTTAAAATTGCCTTTCAAAATTACCATGAAGTAATGAGCCGTTCCTAAGAATTGGAGGAGGACTTAGAAACTATGAAATAATATTTGTCAAGCACTTTTCAAACCTAAAGTGCTATAAAAATTCTGGCTATTTTACAGTAAAGGAACCTTGTGGCCCAGAGAGAGAAGGGAACTTCCCTAATTTCAGCCGGTTCATGGCAGAGACAAGACTCTCATGCCTGACTTTTTAATGCTTTGTCCACTGCTCGCTTGTTTTTTAGAAAAGTCTTGATCCTAATAGAGAGGGGGTGTGTGTGTGTGTGTGTGTGTGTGTGTGTGTGTGTGTATATGAGTGACCTTTTTCACTTTTCCAGGTGCAGACTAGGTCTAGGTTTAATACTTTGCAATGTTAACTTGGTACTTCTGTGTAGCCCTTCTGCGGTGTTACACAGTGAAGTAGTCACTTAGAATCACAGAATGTTAGAAACTGTGAGGGCTTAGAGATCTAGTTTGTCGACCTCTTCTTTCTTTTATAGAGGGGGGAAACTGAGACTCAAGAAAGGGGAAAGGATTTGCTCAAGGTCACAAAGGTATTTAGTGGCAGAGCCAACACTAGAGTCCTGGAATTCTGACTCCTTGTCTAATGCTTTTCCATTACACTTTTGTACTAGAGGAAAGTTCTCTCTGAAGTACAAGAACTGTTTAATGAAAGTCATTTTTGTTCCTTTCAAATATATTCACATTGAACTAGCAAGGTGTTACTATAGGGGGAAAATGCCTTTAGAGATTTATTTACAGAATAAAGGAGGGAACGTTTATTAATTAAAATAGTTGCTTCTGAAGTGTCTGAAAATAGTTGATTCTTTTACATATTATAGCCCTGCCCCTCCCAAATCATCTTACTATAGCTGGTTAATTTTCTGTATTGTTGACAAAATTATGCTTTCAGAACCCATCCAAATTCCGTGTTGTGACTTTAAAATACCAAGGGCCTTTTGTATTACTATTTCTGAAAGAAAGAAAGAAAATATGATCATAAGGAAGCTTAAATGTGTTCAATTTTTCTTTAGTTATAAAGAAATTGATCATTTACACATTTGCAGTACATGCTTTTTTGAACTTGAAAGATCTAGAATAGGAATTTGGAATATGGTTTTTAGTCTGTTACTTCAAATGGAGCTAGTTTTGAATTTTAATCATTTCAAATTAAAAAACACAATGATGCTTTTCAAATTGGATGCAGAGGTGCTGTCCCTGTGTAGCTTTTGAAAGCTTCATAGTTCACACACACAACCCTTTACCATTCACTTTTATAAACTTTGTCAGGTTTTAACAATATTTTAATTTTTCACTTAATTATTTTGTTTTTGTTCTGCTTATACTAGGTTGTAGCTCTTCTTACATCACAGTGTACTGTGAATATGGAGTTGATGTTTTTGATGTTCATACTATGGAATGGGTTCAGACCATTGGCCTGAGGAAGGTAAGGGAATCCAATCTGTTCCTTGTCATTTTGTTGCAACATATGAGCTCTACAAATTATACATTTTAATCAAAATTGCTTTTTTATTCCAAACCAGATCAGACCACTTAACATGGAAGGAACACTTAATCTCCTTAACTGGGAACCTCCACGGTTAATATACTTCAAGAACAAGTTTTCAGGTAGGCAGAGAAAGAACAAGCTTAGAATATTTTTCTGTTCAATAGGTTTCATATATTACTGCAAGTCATAAGCAAACTATCTTTTCATTCACCTGGATTCAGCGAATCCATGTGCTTCGAAGTTGTGCTGTGTACCTATGGTGTGCTGGTGCATCTGAGAATCAGTGATATTTCAAATACATAGGCTACAGCCATAATTACTGTGCGTTATTTAATTTTCATTTAGGAGCTGTACTCAGTGTTCCAGAAACTTCTGATAACAGCAAAAAACAAATGCTTAGGACCAGAAGTAAAAAGCGATTTGTCTTTAAGGTTCCTGAGGAAGAGAGATTACAGCAGAGGCGGTAAGAGTTTAATCACTTGGAGCTCAGTTAGGTTAATAGTAACAGCCAAGTGTATTTTTGCATATGAATGAATTTCCAAATGTTTTCTTTTCCCCAGAGAGATGCTTAGAGACCCAGAACTGAGATCAAAGATGATATCAAACCCAACCAATTTCAACCACGTTGCTCATATGGGGCCAGGAGATGGAATGCAAGTGCTCATGGATCTCCCTCTGGTAAATTAAATAAATTTACCCAATGAACAGGGCGTGAGGCATGGGAATGAAGCTTACATCCACAAAATATAATCTCTCTTCACTTGCACATTTGCCAGAGGAAGCTATGCATAAGGCTCCTGAGGAAGCCTTTCCTTCAAGGAAAAGGAGACCTAGCTGAAAAATGAAAGGCTGCATCTGCAAAGATCATGCAGTCCACACTGCTAGCTGCCTATAAGTTTTTACAAACACTTGTCTCTGTCCATCCTTTTCTTATTTGATGAAAATAACAGAATTCATTTCCTTGCCCCTCCTCTTTGCGGTAGTCTGTTCCAGTACCACTTCCAACAAACTTTAAGCACACCTATCACATAAACTTTCTCTGCCAAAATCTTTCTCTAGGATTATCACTGTTTTTCAGCCTCAGGCATCTCTCTCTCTGCTTCTTTTTTCTTGCCTGTCCTCTATTTCTCTTGCCAAAGTAGCAACAATTGTTAACACATTACCACTTAAGAATCGAGTTGATGCACTGCAGGCTCTTTTTCAGAGTGAGAGGAGGCAGGTCATGGGCTGGGGCCCGGAGTCCTGCCTACAAGTCCTGGTTCTCCTCCCCAGTGGCCGTGTGGCCTCTATTGGTCCCATTGCCTCCCAGCCCCATGGCTTTAGAGCTGAGAGAGTAATACTCAAACTGTCCACTCCCACTATTGTTCTGAGGAAAGCACTGAAAGCTGAAAAATGTAAAGACTGAATATGTGTATGTCTCAGTAATGATGAGGAAGAAAACTGTTCAATCCAAGTATTTACTAAATGCCTTCTGTGTGTGTGGCACTTGGCCAGACACTGGTATGGGGGTTTGGAAGGATGAGGGAGGGATAGTGGGGGCTTCCAAACCTGTGATTTCACTGGTGTAGGGAACTCCTTGTGAGGAAACTCCTTCTGGCACTGCAGAGGAACAGCTACCCAGATCTGAGGCTGCACTTGATTCTTGGCCTTCTTGACTCTGAGGCTAGGCTCTACCAACATGCCACTCTGTTCGGTAGACACCAGAGAGAGCTCAAATTAGAGCATCCTAGCCTTCAAGGAGCTTACTGTTCTGCAGCATATAGTATATAAATAGATAAATAGATATTAGATAATTTAAGTGATCCCAGGTGGTGATCCAGAAAAAGAGGTTGAGAAGTGGTTAGAATATTAGAGAGAAAATGAAAAGGCCACATCACAAAAGCCAGAGGGAAAGAGAATATCTAGAAGAAGGGGTGAGGTATCCAGTTCAATGAAAAATTATAACTTGGTGTCAGGAAACCATTTTCCCTCAAGGAGTTTACTTTCGGGGCTGGAGGTGGGGATACCAAAACCTGTAAGGGAGATTAAGAAGGATGAGGACTGAGAAAGATGTATTATAATTAGCAATTAAGAGGGTAGCTTCTATCAGTTGATGAGCTTAGAAGCCAGAGTGAAAGTGATTGAGAGCTGATTTGTAGATGAGGAGGTGGAAGCTAATATAGACAGTCTTGTGCTGTTGTTAACCAGTTTGTTCAGGACATCTATACTTAGATTTTCAACTCCTGACTTTTACTCTCAAGATAAAATGTGTGCCAAGTATTGAGTTCTAAATAACATGAGGGGATAGTGGTGTATCCTTTTACTACCCTCTTTTAATAAAAGCACTCATGTTTTCTGTAATTAAAATACTAGTTATATAGCGCTGTGTCCATCAGTCAGCCTAGTGAGATCAAGAGCTAACCTGTGTTCCATTGCTATCCATATACTATCAGGAGGCATAAGAGGGGCTCCATCATTTCAGATGAATCCCTTGTGGAAGATTAATGGGAGGACATGAACAAGAAACACATAGACTGGATCGATATGAAAGACTAGGTTCCATTTTTGTGGTGCTTTGAGGTTTATAAAATGCTTTCCTTGTGACTGCTCTTGGAGGTGACTGACCACAATAGCCTGAGGGTTAGGTAGTACCTAGATGTGATGCCACTGGTGGTGATAACTGCATATTTGCATAGTGTTTTAAAGTTTACTTTAGCTTCTTTTGTTGCAAAAAATCATCTTCCCGTTTTTTTGTGGGGCTTAGAAATTATTTGCTTGCCTACCAAAGACAATCTTAAACATTTTCCCAGATTGATCTTTATGTCATTTATTGTCCCTGACCCACAATACTTACCTCATTAAAACAGACCATAATGATTATGGTGTGGGCGTTTGGTTGTACATATGTTTTAATGTTGCATTTTCAAATATAGAGCGTATTGCCTTCCTCACAAGAAGAAAAGGCTGGCCCTTCCCCAGCCAACCTCTCCCGGCAACCACAATCGAGAAGTAAGACCTACGTTTCATGGCCCTCTTCAGGTACAACTTGCAATCCAGATAATCTTAGGAATTCTCTACTGGATTTAATTCCTTGAGGGCAGAAACCATCTGTTACCTTTGTATCTCCAACAGTGCACTGCGCAGTAGTCAATCATTCAGTAAGCATTCATTAAGCGCTTACCATGTGCCAGGCATCATGCTAAGCACTAGGAGTACAAAGAGAGGCGAAAGACAGTGTCTGCCCTCAAGGAGCTTACGGTGTAATGGGGAAAACAGCAAGCAAAAATAGGAGGCATTAACAGAGGGAAGGCGCTAGAATCAAGAGGGGTCTGGGAAAGGCTTCCTGTAGGAGGTGAGATTTTAGCTGGGATTTGAGGGAAGCCAGGAGGCAGAGACGATTCGAGGCATGAGCAACAGCCAGAGAAAATGCTCAGAACTGAGAGATGGGGTGTCATGTCTGTGGACTTAATAAGACGCTTAATAAACGTGGGTTGTATGAATAAACATTAATTGTGCACCTACCTGTTATGTTGTCTGTGAGCACTGTGGGAGGAAAGGGGCAAGAGAAATACAAAGGACTTGATGTAATGTTTTAATTTTTAGTTGAGTTATAAACTTTATTTTTCTTGTAGGTGGCAGTGAACTGGGAGTGACCATACCTCTAAGAAGTATGTCTGATCCTGACCAGGATTTTGACAAAGAGGTAAAATTTATCTTGTCAAATCAAAATTTTTCCATACTATATAAATACTAAGAGTTATTCCTTAAGAAGAAAGACATTTGGGTCATAAGCAAAAAGTTTATTCACTCACACCCATCCCCTTCCCAAAGTAGTAGCAAAGCTTTTGGGAGGTAGGTTAACATTTCTGTCAGTTTTGTTTTAATTTTCAGCTATGCTTATTCAAATATGAACAGTAACAAATGAAAGCAGAAAGGAAAACAAGTGACACAAAAGGAAATGATTAAACAAGACGTTACAAAAAGTGAATGTAAATTTCTGTGTGCATAACTGTACTCTTACTGTTTACTGATTAAAAGAAATAAAAGCTGTGCATATTAATTTTTAACACGGTAGAAACAAAGTTGTCAAATGCTTTTTAATACAGATTGTGTTCCTGTTTAATGTTTTTCTTTATTTACATGGGTGTAGTTAATACGTATATTCTTTTATTTCTGCTTTCTTCGTTCTTCATCACTTCATATAAACCTTCCCACTTTTTACAGGGCATTAATACTGTCTAACATTTTAGACATGTGCTTTCATTGGTACAAAGAATTTCCAGGGAAGAAATCCCTTCTACCAATGTAGACTGGCAGCTGTCCTGCAACTTTCAGTCTTAGAGAGTCGCTTAAGGCCCTGGGAGGTCAAGTCAAGTCTCCAAGCAGAGGCTGATGTTAATACAGAGGCTCGTTTTCAGATTAGTTGCGGTCCGTTGCTATTCAAATTCTGTGTCTCTTTTGAAGAGAAGTGGGTATGAGCCTTGAAGCACTGAATTTACTGAACTGTAATGGAGAATAGTAGCCACATCATTCATTCTGCTTAGGTTGCTTGTCACAAGTACTCGTGGAGTAAATTTCTCAGTATTTTCCAGGTTTCTGATTATTGAGGGAAGAAGGGAGAGATAGATGGAATCTATGGCCATGAATGCTGCCTGCCTTCACAGTGGGAAAAATTCGATACAAAATAATAAAAAAATAGTAATTTTTTTTTCTTTTAGGTACCTACAAGCAGATTCCCCCTTTTCTACCCTGTTAGTCATTGAATTGTCATGGCTAGCATGGTGTGAACTCAGCCATATTTTTCAGTGACTGTTTTGTAGTCTTAGGGCTGGTTAGAGATCATAAAACCATGGATTTCGAGCTGGATGACCTTAAGTACCATCTAGTCCAATCCTTCATTTTGCAGAGGAGGAAACAGAGACCCAGATGTTAATGTGACCCAGTCATCTCCAGGTCACACAGGTAGTTAGCAGCAGCACAGGGATCTGGATCTGCCTACATATCCAGCGTGCTGCGCTTGACAAGGTTGTCCTCAGGAATCTTGTTCACCTGTGGTTCATTCCCTTACTCCCCAGTGATTCTAAACATGCCTCCAACTTGGTGTGAGCTCCCCAAAGCTAAGTAAGCTCAAGAAAAAGCATTGGTTTTGAAAGGATAAAACTAGACCTCACCCTGGCTCCTCAGAGCAGTTTCCATACCCACAAAATGAAGGGTTTGGATTAGATGACCTCCAGGATTTTTTCCCAGTTCATAATCCTACAGTCCCTTATGAAATAATGTCCCCACGGTCACATAGATAGTCTAGGCCCGGGGTGGGGAACCTGTGGCCTAGAGGGCCACAAGTGGCCTTGAGGCTGAGGTTCCCCACTGCTGGAACGGCAGGGCCAGAACTTAAACTGCCTGCCTTTTCAGCTTTTGGATGGGGTCCTGTTGTTCACAATTTGTGACACCTTTGAGCTGCTGTGCCCATTCGCTAGATAAGTAAGTTCAGAGTTCACCATTTAGCCTAGACTTGGAGGTCTAAAGTTTGAAATTCTTTGATAGAAAGCATTGTATATATAAAAAATGGAAGATTGTCTTTGGGAATATTCATTATCATTTCCTCTCTTTTTAACAGCCGGATTCTGATTCCACCAAACACTCTACTCCATCAAACAGCTCCAATCCGAGTGGTCCCCCCAGCCCCAATTCTCCACACAGAAATCAGCTCACACTAGATGGGCTAGATCAATCAACTTGTGATGCCTAACACTCCAGCCTCCAGTGCTTCAGCTTCACGTTCCCAGCACTGCGCCAAGTATTCAGAAACAGACGGAGCAAGCGCGTCACATGAAAGCCAAGACTGATACTCAGTCTCTAGTGTTGCACAAGAAAATAAATATCCAGATTGTAGATAAGAAAATGGAAATGAAAACAAATTATTATTACAATAATAATCACCTTTTTTGCAACGTTGGGCAGTTGCGATAGTTAAGATGTATTCATTTCTGCACAGCTGTGATATAAATCTGTTACATATAAGCATTAAAGAAAACCAATAAATAATCTCTTCTGCCAAGAAGGAAATAGAGGGGAAAATACTGGTAGTGTGGATGCTAAGCAGTATTGACAATATTATTTTTCTATAGAATGATGTAATAATGTCTCATTAGCTGGAAATCCTTTTAGACAAAATATGGACCTTTGCATAGGAAATACACACAAAGGACCTGTTACATCCTCAGATAAATATACTTTTCCCTTTTTCCTGTAACTCTTTCCTAAAACTTTAGGAAAATAATAGGAAACTGTACATTGTTCCCAGCATCACTAGAGTCATGAAGTCAAAAGAAAGCTAAGGTTAATTTGTGGCCTTTCGACTCATTTAGCCATTATGTATTCAGCTGCAGAAGCATCTTTCTACCAACTTTTTAGTCATGTATATAGAACGGTTACCAGTAACATCTCCCCCTTCCCCTTTTTACCCTGCTAACTGCTTTTTATTTCATCCTCAATGGCACTGATCAGGACTCTAAAGACATCAGAAATACTGTTGTGACAAATTTTATCTTTTATTTCTCACTTCCTTTTTTTTGGAGGAGTAGTGCTCTCTTACACACATATACATATGTATTTGTGATTGTGTGTGTATTAACACCCAAGGAACACCCACAGATGAAACATCTGTGTTCTTGGTTCCTTACAAGAGTCAAGTGAGAACAGCTTAGAAATGAGCGAGCAGCTCTTCTCATTTGTCATCTTTCACCTGCATGGAGACCCCATGATTACTAAACAAGTATTGATCATGTAGAAAAACACACAGCACCCTCCTGAAGACTTCTATGGCCCATGTGTAGTGGTGGTGTTTTGTGTGGCTATTTAATCTCACACTTCCTTATATTCTCCGTTTAGTGACCATATTTGTGACCTCATCTCATTAAAAGCTTGTAATTAATCCCATGGCTGGCATGTCCAGTTTTTCATTGACCCATTAGTGTGCCTTTTGCCCCAATATGACAGTTGGATGTCACTTATTGAAGATTTGGTTTTAATGGGCTAATAATGCGACACCACTGGTTTTTCCCCCCCCAAAACACTGTTTATGATGTGCACTTGTTTTTAGTTGAAACTGAGTGTTCTAGTCCACATTTAGTCCTGTAACATTAAGTGTCTGACAGACAGTACTGGCTCTCTCTTCAGATTCTCCATCAAGGGGCTCCTTTGGAGCTGGACACTACTGGTTGGGGGGTGGGGGGGAATCTGGTTTTTACTTTTTTAATGTAAGTCTGAGTCTTTGTAATTATTGAACTGTGAGAACATTTTTGAACAATTTACTTGTCAATAAAGCAGAAGAGGGAGGTTTTAAAGTTCATAGTGGTCTGTCTTGACATAAAAACCTACTGCATGAACTCAACAGACTTTTTACTAAGCCCCTGCTACTTGCAGGGTATATCATATCTGAGTTACCTGATGAATTCACCCTGCAAGAAATTCTGGTCTGCATTTAGAAAAGTAGTTCATATTTCTGTAAAAAGTTAAAGTTTTAAAGGTATATTCCTTACAAGAATTCTGTGAGGTAAGTGGTACAGATACTATTATCCCCATTTTGATGATAAAGAAACTGACATTTAGAGAGATTGTTTTTCCAAACAAAGCGAGGAACCAAACTTTAGGTTATATTAATTACTCCATACTGAGGATAGCAAAAAATCCCGTCTCGGAACTGGGAAGATGCATTATTCATTATTTTGTAAAGAAGTATCTGGCTTCTTATTTTAAAAGAAAATATTTGGTAAAAGATGAATCTGGTAGTCTCTGTTCTGTTCTAGAGCTGAAAGAGATCTGACTGTGGTGGAGACCTAAACAGATTTTGAATCCTAGAAAGAGACTTTGGGAAATATTTGAAAATAATAGGAAAGTCACACCTCTCCTACAAGTGTCTCCTAAAAAAGAAAAATCCTGCCTTTGGTTTCTAATACGCTTAAAGGTTTCCAAACACTTAAAAGTTATTTCAAGCTCTTGTTATTTTGAATAATTCCTCTACCAACAAAGATATCCACCTTTAGACAGCTTGGTAGAAAATCCAACGAACATTTATTAAATATTGACTTTGAGCCAGGCTATGCTAAGTGCTGGGGATAAAAATAAAAACACAGTCCCTCTCCTCAAGGAACTTACAGTCTAATCAAGGAAGACAACATGCCGTGGGAACAGGATTACAAAGTAGTCCAAAAGCAGAGTAGCTGGTGGAAAATGGGGGGAAGACTGTGCTGAGCCCCTGGGGTCCATGGAGTTGGTAACGATTTGAATATGATTGATTTCTTTTCTAGTACTAAGTATTTTATGTCTTTAAAAACATTATTCTGAGAAGGGCTCTCTAGGCTTCACTAGGCCACAAAGGAAAACATTCAGGAAAAGGGTGCTGTAGCTATACACTTCTAAGTGGAATGTCAGAGAACATCCCCTTGAACAACCAAGCGGTTCAGTTTCAGAACTGCACTCTAGGACTGGACTGGACTGGCCTAATTGCAGAGAGCCCACTGGAGCCAGGCCCGGACTCCCAACCGCACTAAACCCTGCCAGTTCCCCTGGCGCCTGCTTTTCATTCTTACTCAGGGAATAGTAGTTCAATCAATACGACCAATGTTTCCTCAAGTGTGTCCATTCAAGTGGCTCCAGCTCATCCCTGTGGTATGCCAGACCAAAACACTTCCCTAGCCACTATTCCCCTGCCTGTGTTGTCTGCCGCATTAGAATGAATCAATTTCTTCAAAGAATACACAAAGAGAAAGGCCATCTGATACGCAGGTAGAAGAAAACTACACTTCTGATGGAAATGACCCTGAACCAGAAGAACGTGAGCTCTGGGAAGATTTTCTGTGACGACTGTGTCTTGTTTAAGTCTAAGCCTCGTCAGCAGTGAGGAGGTCTACTGCTACTGCACCGAGAGACAGGAAATGACTGTTTTTCAACCCAGGAAACATGAAAATAAAAAATGTCCCTCATCCCTAGGCTCAGACTAAGGGGCCCTAAAGCTTCCTAACCTAAGCCTTGACTGAAATTTCCAAAGCTGAGTCTGAGTGAATGAATTAATGAATGAAATGTACTTTCAGGTAGCGCGGTGGATAGAACGCCAGCCCTGGAGTCAGGAGGACCTGAGTTCAAAGCTGACCTCAAAGCTGACCTCAGACCAAACACTTGACATTTACTAGCTGTGTGACCCTGGGCAAGTCACTTAACCCCAATTGCCTTAAAAAAAAGAAAAATGCACTTTTAGGCATTTGTGATGTGGTAAATGTTGGGAATACAAATAGGAAAAATCAAGACCGCCCCTGCCTTCAAGGAGTTTGCATATTAATAAGAGGGAACAACACATATAAGGGAAGTGCCCCCAGAAGTGTGTTGTGGTCAAGAAGGTGACAGCAGTCGTGGAAGGTAGTGTTAAGACAATGTTAAAGGTGGGAAGGGGCAGCTCTCTGGCACGGTGGATAGAGAGCCAGGCCTGGAATCAGAAAGACTCAACATCACAAGTTCAAATCTGGCCTCAGACACTAGCTGTGTGACCCTAGGCAAGTCACTTAATCCTGCATGCCTCAGTTTCCTCATCTGTAAAATGAGCTGGCAAAGGAAATGGCAAATCAATTCAGTATCTGCTGAGGAAACCAAATAGGGTCCTGTAGAGTGAGACGTGACTAACAACAACAAAAAGTGGGGAAGAGAGGCAAAGCCAGTCAAGAAGAGGGAAACTGCCTCTGTCAGGCAGCGTTAAAGACACAGCCAGCTCCGTCTACATAGACAATGCAAAGAGGCTTCTTTTAACCACATGGTAAGCCAGCATAGCGTTACCACATGAGCCAGCTCTTCAGTCTCCCAGAAGTAGGTCCTTGGCATTTCCCATGTGAGTGCCTCAATTTTAGGTGGTCAGGGCATGTGCCAAATCCCATTACATTACACTCCTAGTAAAGCAATCCAGCCACCCACTCTACTGCAGGCCCCTTCTCCTTTTGGTGAATTCCTTCTGGGGCCTCCATTTTGGAGAGGGGCCCAGAATGGACATACTTCATTACCCTCCCAGTTCTGACTCAATTTTGACACCCCCACCTCCTTCAGGAGGCCTTTTCTGGTCTCCCAACTGCTCATGCTTTCTCTTCTCATATTGCTTTCCATGTTGTATGTTATCAGAATGTTAGCTCCTAGAGGGCAAGGTAAGTTTTTTTCTTATCTTTCCTGAGCCCAGCACATAGTAATTGCTTAATGAATACTTGTTGACTTATTTTTCTCTTTGACCAGGGGAAATCTCAGGAAATACTTAAAAAATATAGACTTCTTATCATTTCAGAAAAATCAGAATTCTATCATACCACCAGATTTTCCTTTCTCCACCCCTCCCACATACACATAACACAAATGTATATCTATCTTGTTTCCAAAAAATATATCTGAGAGCTAACAACTTACTAGGATCAACACCAGAGACTCGGGACCACCATGGAACCAGCTGTGGCCAGCTGCCAGCCTTATTGATCACTGTCTAAGCCCCGGGATCCTGGGGCAAGGGCAATGAATCTTAGGAGCCAATTCGGTAAGAATTCATCCCTCTTGTCCAGTTCCCTTCCTTCTGGTCCTTGCTCAGCCTCTAGCCCCCAGTATGGAAACAGGAAACCCCCAAATCCAACAATTACTCTCGCCATTTGTCATCTACCCAAGATTTATCTGGGGCCATATGAGCCCTCCTTTCATCTCACATTTGATGGACTAGGGATTACAATTCCCTGTTCTGAAAAATGAGACATACTCCACATCCTCCATGTCATCAAATGAGAAGAATATGAAAGCCTTCGTAAACCAAAGCATTATACAACTCTCTTGGGTACTTTGTGGGAGACCCCCTCCAGGTTGGCATGGGTCCATTAATCATCGCTTTTTAGATTCATCCTTCAACCAATTTGGAATCTGCTGAAATATTCTACCTTCCAATCCACCTCCTCTCCAACTCACTTCGCTCCATCTTGTTCAGAAGGTTTGCATGAGAGATTGTCAAATTCATTACTGAATATCAGGTAAACTTACACATCCACAGCAGAGACAATGTGGGAATATAGGAGGGTGAGGGTGGCAGAGATAAAAGAGCCAGCCTCAATGTCAGCATAATCTGGATTCAAGTTCAACTTCTTACAGGTGCTTGCTAAGTCTGGCTAGCCACTCAGAACCCCAGGCAATCCTCTAAGCCCAGCCGTTTCAGAACAGGTGCCCATCTCTAGGGGAAGACGTTGTTCACCTTGAGTTCCCTACACCAATGAAATCCCAGATCTGGAACAATTTGTGGATTGGGAGGTACAATCCCTCCAGCCCTAAAAGGAAATATTTCTTCCTCATCTGGAAGGAAACAAAAATTATGTGATTCAACCTCTTAATTTTGCAGAAGAGGAAACTGAGGCCCAGAGAAGGGAAAAGACTCGTCTAAGATCACACAGTGTCACATGTGCACACACCCACCCACACACCCATTCACTTGGCTTACGATCCTAGTAACCCTGATAGAAAAGGAAAAAGAGGTGAATCTGTCTTCTCTAGTGGGGTAACCTAGAGGGAACCCTGAATCCTCTCAGTGAGGAGAGCCACTGCCTACCTTGCTAGCAAGGATTGAGATATGGGTTTGACTACAGCCTGTAGCATTGCCTCCTGCCACTCCCATCCCAGGGCAGCTCACCAGAAGATGCATGTAATGGCCATGGTAACTCATGTAGACGACCTACATTCTAAGGTATAGGAAAAACTGTTTGATGTTCAGTTGTGTCCAATTCTTCATAACCCCATTTGGGGTTTTGTTGGTAGAGATACTGGATTTCCTTTTGCCATTTCCTTCTCCAGCTCATTTTATAGAAGAGAAAACTGAGGCAAACAGGGTTAAATGACTTGTCCAAGGTTATAGTATCTGAAATAGGATTTGAACCCAGGTCTTTCTGACTCAATTTGAATTGCTACAAACAGCCTACTCTCCGAGGACATCATGGCTTCTCTACTTAATTAAGTTCTGGTATTATTTTTATGATCACCCTTTTGGTAGAAAAGAACCGGGGAGAAGTGACTTCACTCTACAGCTACTCTTCCTCAGCATTCAGAAAATATCGAAGCGTGTTGCCAGTCAGACATTTTTTATTGAAAAAGGCCAGCTCCTGTCCTTTCTCTAGCCCTTCCCTGGGTGATGTCAAGGCTAGCACTGCCCCCACCATCTGTCCGCAGGGAACCTCCAGGCAGACTTCTCTTTCCCTGTCACCGTCCCTCCCGCGCCCCCTGGTTGAAGGATGGGTCACAGTCTCTTGATGTGGTTTTCTTCCCTGGGAACTCCGAGCCATCATCAGAGCTGAGGGGAAACAAAGATCATTTTGCAGAGGAGGAAACTGAGGCCCAGAGAAAGGAAGAGACACTGAGTCAGCGTCAGAACTGGAACTCAGATCTCTCAATATTCAGTTGAGGTTGAGAGAGAAAAAGAAGTAATTCCTGTGGGGAAGAAATTGGTAGCTATCCACTACATGGAGACGAGGGGCAACCAGGGGCGTAGCCTGGGCTGAGGGAACCAAATGAAGGGACGCTGAACTCAGGGAAGACTGGACGGCTTGCTCTGAAAGCTGGGAGGCCTGGCTTCCATTTTAAGACATGCTTTGTGGTGTGCTCTGGTAGGAAAATGCATGGACGGTGCCCTATGCTGGGGAAAGATAAAGGAAGAGTGGTTCAGAAGCTGTGCATCATCATGAGACACAGACTGCTCATCCATCCATCCATCCATCCAGAGAAACTCAGGTTGTCGGGGTTTGGGTGGAGAGAGCCCTGGGCCAGGTATCATGGTGGAGACAAGGCAAGAGACAGAAAAGGGCTGCCATCAGCTCAGGAAGTTCCCTCCTCTCCACACAGGCCAGGCTCCCAGGGTCTCACGGAACCGAGGGCCAAGGGCAGGAGGGCCTTAGACATCTGCTTCAAACAAGGGGTTAATGAAGTAGCTGCCACTGTCCCTGCTGGGGCTTGTCGGAGAATCGGTGTCTTCCAAAACCTAAGGGTGAAAGAGACCAAGAGAGGTAGAGATGAAGGGGGAGAGAAACAGAGGCGTGGAGAGACAGGCAGAGGGAAGGGCAGAAAGAGGAAGAGAAAAGAGAAAGAGGAAGACATGAGGATGTAGAAAGATAACAGATACCGGGAGACAGACAGAACAGGACACAGAGAAACAGATAAGAGGCAATCCCGGAGAGACATAGAGACAGAATATGGAGTCACCCACCCAGACAGAGAGAGAACAGGGGGTGGGGTGGGGGGGTGGAAAAAGCCCTGGGCGACATGGACCACGGAGGAACTTAGCACCCCCATCCTCTGGTAATCTCTATCTCTTCTTCACAATCCGTCCCTTCCCCCTGGGCCCCAAGGACAACCTCACTTCCCTGCCAGCTGTTCAGAAACCAAAATTCTTGTCCAGATACCATGACCTCAGTGATCCTAGCCTTGTGGCCAGAGACACCACCCAAGAAATTGGGGCAGAACTACCTCCCCCACCCCACCCCACCCTTCACCCTGGAAGTTTGGGGTGGAAGGAAATGAGAATGGGATAAAGGAGAATGGAGAGAAAGCCGATGGTTCCCTGCCAAAGACCAGAACGCGTCTCTCCAAAATCCCAGCTCTATCCAAAACACTGATCGGGGCCGGGGGCAAGGAGAAGGGAGGCAGACGTGGGAGGGGCCACCAGTTATTCCCAGGGCTGATTGTCCTCAGTGACTCCCAAGTTTGACTCTCCTAGATATGGGAATGACCTGTGACTTCCTCCAGATTCTGGGTCTCCCCCAAGCTGTGCAACCTTCGGCGACTAGAGGCTTGCTCTCTGATCTCTTGTTCTTTGAAGTTATATGACCCTGTAATTCACTGTGGAAATGTGCTCACCGCTTCCACGGAAGGGCCAGGGTCCAGCAGAGAGGGAGGGGCTGGATTGCCGAAAATGGGGTTGTCGAAGTTTTGGTTCCCTTGGTCTGATGTAGGTTCTGATCTCTGCCACAGAGTGGGGATCGGCAGGGTCCACAGCCTGCAGGCCAAGAAGGGCATTGAATGTCAGATGAGCCTGGAAAAAGGGGATGCTTGCAGGGGGGCCCTCCTAACACCCCTGCCCAACTCAGTCTCCTCCAGCAATAAGAACCAGGGACACCTGAGAGGCGGCCCTCGGCTCTGTGACTCACTGGATGCCTGACCCTGGCCAGGCCTTGTCCTTCTCTGAACCTCAGTTTCCTCTTTTGTGAGATACAGATGATTGAAGAATTAGTAGCTGGAAGAGGGGAGAGTCTTATCTAGCCAGACGTCTTTCATTTTACACATGAAGAAACTGAAGTCCAGAAGGGGAAGGGTCAGCTCCAAAGTTCCTCTGATTATAAAATAAAGAGCCAGGATCCAAACCCGGGACCTATCATCTCAAAATCTTCTGCCCTTTCCACCCTTCATTCTCTGGGGAGGTGAAGATGGATACAGTAGGAAGAGACATGGAAATAATAATAGCACGCATTTGTTTAGTGCTTTAAATTTTGCAAAACAATTTACCTATGTCGTCTCATTTCATCCTCATGACAACCCTATGTAAAGGTGCTATTATTATCCCCATTTCACAGATATGGAAACTGAGGATAAAAGCATTTGAATGACTGCCTAGGGTGACATGGTTAGTGTCTGAGGGCACTCTAGCCACTGTACCTAGATGGGAAAGCGCGTGTAGCCTGTAATCACATTGTAAGCTATACACCCTATATTCATGTGAATTGAGTGGGAAAGGAAATGTTTCATTTCCCCTGAGTCTCCCTGCCTTATCCTCACTGTTTCCTAAGGCTCATGTACTTATTGCTATTCCAGACTTCTTCTAAGACCAGGATAGAGTCTTTCAGCAAGTTCGCTCCTGAGGTCCCCCTCATCACCATCACTACTCGGTGACCTTGGGTAAATCACTTAACTTTTGAAAGGCCTTCTGATCATCCCAAACCCAGTGGGGCCACTCTGGAAAAATGGCTACCCCACCCCAACCCTCATCCACACTGCGCATACTGCCAGCCACCTTCCTAATGTACAACTCTGGCTACGTTACTCTACTGCCCAAAAGCCTTCAGTGGCTCCCTGTTACCTAGAGCAATGATTTTGAAGTTTGTGGACCAAGGACTCCTGGGAGGTCATGGAGGTCAAGGGTCCAAGAACAGTGGGAGCATATTGAGCCCCGCCCTCCCTTCCCTCTTTAGGTCACATATCGCAGAATAATCTAAATACAGTATATTTTTTTTTTTGGTGAGGTGATTGGGGTTGTGACTTACCCAGAGCCGCACAGCTAGGAAAAATATCATGTGTCTGAGGTCATATTTGAACTCAAGTCCTCCTGATTTCAGGGCCAGTGCTCTATCCACTGCACCACCTAGCTGCCCCTAGAGCAGTATTTTAATCTGAAGTCCTTGGTATTACCTAGATGAAAAACCCTTATCTGTCCTTCTTAACTATTTATTAAATAGTTAAGTATTTATTAATAATAAACAATAGTTAAATATTTATTAAATTTTAAATGGTTAAATATTTATTAAATATTTACTATATTATTCCAAGATAATCCCCTCACAACTAAATCTGGTTTTCCCCCTTATCCAAAGGTAATCACTTTCTTTGAGGAATTTGGGTAGAAAACCCAGGGAGAAACTCCTTTCTCTCTGAAAGAATTAGGGAGGAGGGTGATTGTACAAGGGCAAGAAACCCTTGACATCCCCTAAAGACAGTCTCTTCTCTTTTCATGCTTTGACCACATTGGAGCAATGATCATACTATGAGATGAAGACGTCTCTGTGGCTTCAGTTAATGGAAGTATCTCTTGAGTTCTCTGGCCAATGGTCACCTTCCACCATTCAAAAAGTGTTTCAGGATGATGATTCTCTGGGGAGTTCAGACATTCTAAATTTTTTGAAAGACTACGCATCCCTATCTTTCCCAGGTTGGACATATGAAGGCTACTTATGGGCCCACACCCAATCTGCTCAGCACAAAAGCTGTCCCGAACTTTTTATTTGCTCTGTGGTATGAACTGAGCCAGACCATATCCCCACCTCCAACAGCACTGCAGCTAAAGAGAACCTCCAGCCTCAACCTCCCCAAGAGCACAGATTCTCAGGCACGCGCCACCATGCCCAGCATGCAGATATTAAAAATGACTACTGCTCAGAGACTTTTACTAAACTCTAACCCTTTGCTAAGTCCTAACTGGAGTTTTGTCTGCTGTGTGAGATTACAAATCATAATTCCAAAAATGGCTTGTGTGAGAGATTTTTCAAAGGCCCTGGGAACACGGGGGGAGGGAAAATGGGGAATAACTCTGCCAGTATTTGGACCTGTCTCTAAGCAGAAATGTTTAGAATTAGTTTAATCTGAGTTAACAAAATTGTTTCTGGTAGGCAGTGCCAAAAACCTTCATATAGAATTTTCTTCCACTCCACAAATAAGCAAGTATACCTTCTATAAACTGAGAGGATGTCTCAAACATAGATTGCATCACTATTTTTTCGAATGTATGAAGATGCTAACATGATTAGTAAAACACACTTCCATTTAATCTAATCTTAGAATTTGAATCCTAGCTACACCATTTACGACCTTAACCTTGGGCAAGTAACTTAACCTATTTGGGCCTCAGTTTCTTTATCTGTTAAAAAAATAAGTGAAGGGAGGGAGGGTGGTTGCACTAGAAAAGCAGCACTTCTCAGTTGTGGGTCACAACCCCATATGGGGTCATGAAAAATTTGGCAACAGTAAAAGGTTTCTGAATGCACAATGACCAAAAGTTAATTAAACATCAAGTGTGTAATGAATCCAAAGTGTTTCTGGCAGTGTTTGTGCCCATGTCACTGCAGCCTTGGATCTGAACACAAAGCATGCACACTTTGCACTGTGCATGCCCACAGGCCACGCAATGCCAATCAATGCTGCCTACACACGAAAGGGGTCAAAAGTGGAAAAAGCTGAAGAAGCCCTGCACGAGATGACCTCTGAGGTCTTCTCCCTAAGATGGCCCTATGGTCCTATGCTAATAGCACAACTCTCTATCATCTCTCACTCCCACTAAACAGATAACTTCTTCCTGGCTCTCCAGTGCGTTTCCCAGTCCTCATAGCTGCAAAAGCCCTCCCTCCCAAAGCTATACTATTTTTGTTTATATGTTGTGTATGTGTATGAGTATATAGTATGTTACTTATACTTAAACCTGTTGGGGTAGCTAGGTGGCTCAGTGGATAGAGCTCTGGCCTTGGATTCAGGAGGACCTGAGTTCAGATCTGGCTTTAGATATTTGACACTTATTAGCTGTGTGATCCCGGGGCAAGTGACTTAACTCTGATTGCCCTACCAAAACAAACGAACAAAAAAGCTAAAATAAAAAAAATAAAAAATATACTTATCCATGTTTATATTGTCTTCCCAGATAGATTATAAACTCCTTGAGGGCAGGCACTGTTTCACTAGTATCTTTGTATTCCCTTTGCTTAGCACAGTGCTGGGCATATGGTGGGCATTTAATAAATTCTTCTCATTGCTTGGGCTCACTTTCCTAACTGGTTCTGGGGTACACTACCCTCTCTTCTCAAATCCCTTGCACCTTCATCCCGCTGTGGCTCCCACCGTTCCAAGCCCCACCATCTGCCTTCTCCTTTGTATTCATGCTGCTAGAGTACCACAGTCGTGCTGACAAGGTCAACCACAAATCTATGTCATCTGATCTCAACTGGGTCCTTGATGTTTCACAATAATCATTCCATACATTCAAAGCCTCAAGCACACCGGCCTACTTGATGGTCCCCAAACTTGGCGTCCTATATCCTTTGTACCCTTGCAAAGGCTGTCTGTCCCCCATGCCTCGAATGAACTCTGTTTCCATATCTCTGGCTTCTGAAGCGCCAGCTGCTATGGGGGACTGTCTGTTGTCCAACCTCTCTTCCCTCCTAATTCTTTCCTCAGGAAGAAGGGAATTTCCCCCTGAATTTTCTATCCTATGCCCCCCTTCCCCCAAAAAAGTGATTATCCATTTGGTAAGGGGGGAAATCAGATTTAGTTGAGGGAATTAAAAGTTAAGAAAGCCGGATAAGGGTTTCTCAACTAGACGAGACCAAAGACTTCAGACTAAGGTACTGTCCTTATATTATTAGTTAGTATACTGCCGCTCCTCAAATTATTTTGGATCTACTTTTTTGTGTATGTGTTCAACTCAACAGTTATACCCTCTTGCCTACTACCCCTTTTCTTTTCTTTTCTTTTTTCCTTTAGTTAGACAATGGGGTTAAGTGACTTGCCCAGGGTCACACAGCTAGTAAGTGTTATGTGTCTGAGGCTGGATTTGAACTCAGGTCCTCCTGAATCCAGGGCTGGTGCTCTATCCACTGTGCCACCTAGCTGCCCCTCCTACTACCCCTTTTCTAGTTGAATGGAAGTTCCCAGAGAGCAGGCAGTGACTGCTTTTCTATGTGGGAGCATCCATGATGTTTCTTGACATTAAAAAGGGGTCCTGCTACTCAAAATGGATGGTGCCTACTGGCTTATAGGGTGAAATACAATTTTTCTAGTCAGATATTGAGGACCCTCCACAGTTTGGCCAATCTAACTTTCCTGCTTCATCTCTGGAGGCTCCCTCTCACACATGCTTCTTCCGCTTCAACCCAACTGCTCTCTTCATCTCCAGGACACACCAGACCCACTCCGGGCTCCATAGCTTTTCTGGCCTGGAATGTCCTACCCCTTCCTTTCTTCCTGCTCTAAACCTACGTGACTTTCAAGTTTCTCCTTTTAGGAAGCGTTCCTTGGTAGCCTCAGCTCTCAGGGACCTCCCTCTTCTCAGAGCCCCAGCAGCCCTGATATCTGTGCGTGACATTTCATCATATATCATATGATACTTAAATGTCTCTGTAGGGTGGGACTGTTTCTACAGAGCCCAGGTTTACTCTTCTTCCATCTCCCCTAGACTGTGAGTTCCTTGAGGGCAGGACCCTGGTTCTTACTTCTTCCTATATCCTTAGGAAAGACTGATATGGGATGAGCAGACAGCCCTACTGGTGGGACCCACCCTTACCTGACCTGTCCAGTCCAGTGAATGAGCAGGAGACCCCCAAGCAGAACCATCAGCCCCAGGACCAAGAAAATAGCCGGGCCAGTCACCGGCCCTGAGGTTGGGCTTGCTCCGGTGAGCCCACCTGTGGAACCACTGCTGCCTGAATACTCCACATATCCCTGAAGGACTCCAAAGGCTGCCCCTGAAGAGGAGAGTAGAAAGAGGACACGCCAAATGAAGAAGGGCTCCCTACATACCATCCCCTCCTCATCCAGGAAGTCTTCCCTGACCATCAGGAAGAGAGATCACCAAAGAACTGGGACTATCCCTGAGCACTAGGGGTTTTATGTCTGGTAAGGATTTTCTTGTTTAGAGAGGAATCCATCTTGGCTTCTGGGGAAGTGTCCTACTCCAAGGATGGTAGCTGGACATTCTTCTCTGGTAGCCACCTCCCCTTATTCTCCTCCCTTTCATGGCCCCTTCTAATTTTGACATTCTACATTCTCTTAATCTCAAGATTCTTTCAGCTCTGACATTCTGTGTTCTAGAATGAGCAGCTGTGTGAAGATTCTGGAGTACCCAGTGAATCCAGAGCGGAGCAGGTCACTCTGTATCCTTAGAAGGCTGATCAAAGCTCTCTTCTTGTATGGAATCCAGTGTCCCCACCCCTGTCACTGAATGGTTGAACTGTATGTAGTTCAGAGGGTGGAGAGCCAATCAATCAATACATATTTATTAACCCCTACCATATATGTCAGGTACTGTGCTAAGCCACCCAACAAAACCATTTCCCATCGGCCTACCACTAATTGGCAACTGAGCCAGTGACATTGATAGAAGGGGTCTCTCTCTCTCTCCCATAACTACCTTGAGGCTTCATCAGTACACAATCCCTTAGTCTATTTTGCCTCCAGTCTGGATCACTCCCTTTGACCTTCCAAGGTTTGGGGAAGAAGATGCTAATTATTCAAGGTCATTTTCAATCCCATCTTCTTCGTGAAGTCTTCCCTGATCATTGCAACCATCACTGCTCATTTTCCATTCCCTTCTCAAATTCTTGGCTTCTGAAACAGATCTCTAAGGCTACCACCAATCTCTTAATGGCCTTTTCTCAGTCCTTAGCCTTCTTGACCTCTCAGCACTGGTCACTATTGACCACTTCCTCTCCCTGGATACTCTCTTCTCCTTTATCTTTTGGGGCATCCTGGTTCTCCTCTCATTTAACTATGCCTCTCCAGTCTCTTTGTAGGGATAGGAATTCATGCTTTGTGCCTCTAAGAGTGGGGTGGCTCCCTTCTGGGCCCTCATCTCTCCTTTCTTCACTCTCTCCCTGAGAAATCTCATCGACTTTCCTCAGACTCAATTATCATCTTACCTCGGGTTCCTCATTTATAAAGTGGAAATAATAATAGCACCTCCCTCCAGGGGTGTTGTGGTGATAAACGAGGGGCTGGATTGGATGACCCCTAGGTCCCACCCAGCCCCAGATCTATGGTCCATCAAGAGAAAGAGGAACAGATCATAGCATAAGAGGGAAATGGTAATTAATAGCTAGCATCTATATCATGTTTTAAGGTTTGCAAAGTGCTTTAAATAAATGATCTTATTTGACTCTCATAACAACCCCGTTAAGAAGGTGCTAGTATTATCCGCCATTTTATGGATGATGAAACTGAAGCCCAGAGTGTTCAAGTGACTTGCCTAAGATCTCCCAGCTAATAAGTGTCTAAGGCAGGATTAGAACTAAGATCTTCCTGATTTTAGGTCCAATACTCTATCCGCTGCATTACTTAACTGCCTCTAACTGGGGGAAGGGCAGGGATATATCTCTGAGCCCAGGAAGCCCAGCAGGTTCAGAGGCTGAGGCTAAGAGACTCCAGGTTCCTGCCTTAGGTCATAATGGTCAAAGAAGGTTTATAACAAAGTGAAAAGTGAAAGCCCTGGGCCTGAAGGTAGGGTCTCCTAGGAGACTGGCTCTAATACTAGGAGCTGGTGCCCAAGGAAGCTGACCTAGATACAGGTAGCTCCAGACAACCAGGTATCACTTGTCACTATGTTGCTTTCCTGCTGTGAGCCTCAGTTTTCTCCTCTGTAAAATGGGGATAATAACACCTGTCTTACCTTTCTCTGAGGAATGAATGTTGTGAGAACCCAGTGATCGGGAAAGTTCTTTGGAAACTGTAAAGAGCCCTTCAGCACTTATGAAGAAGGCTTACTGGTGGAGGAAGGATTGGAGTTGCTGCTGAAATAGAGCTACGAATTGGGAAAGTCAGTGCTACAGGGAGACTGCCCTGATGCCCCTGCTCAGTCTTCCTCTGGACCCAGCAGGACAGGGCGGGTGGGGCAGGGGGTGGGGAGGGAAGACAGTGGGGCCCGTACCTTGCTCAGCTACATCAGTGAGGATGTCTTGGGCCACATCTGCAGCTGCCTTTCCTGCCTCGGGCCCGGCTCCATCATCAGTCAGCACCAGCTGGATCTGGGTCATGCTCTCGGCCTGTCGCTTCCCACGTGCTGTGTGCCCTGACCCTCGCAGTGTGGGCGCCCTGCGTACTTTTGAGATGGCCATGCGCACCCCCCGAGGCCTGGGGCTGAGGATGGTATAGGATCAGTCTAGGCCTGGGGTGGAGGAGGGTGGACAGGCTATCCTCTGAGAGGACCATTAGGCTGCGGGGAGCTTGAGGGCCTGGGTGAGGTGTGAATGGACTGGTTCCTGGGGAGGGGGGAGAATGTGGGGCATAGGGTCAGATTGGAAGTCTGGGGGGAAGGGAGAATCCTAAAGGGGGAGATTCCCTGGGTAGGGTAATAGGGAATGAGGCTCAGCTTGGGGAAATAGAGGCAGTAAGTTTGGTGGTGAAGGAGAACAGCCTAGAGACGTGGCCTGGGGTGGAAGTCCTCTTTTGTTAAGTAGGGCATTGGACTTTTTTCATGGATGCTCTCAGGAACAGTTAGAGGAGGAAGATATGGTGAGGATCCCTGGTCCGAGCCTCAGCCCTTAGGCTGGATCCCAAAAAACCTGATCCTCTCTCTCCAAACAGGGAACAGAGATTGGAAGAAGGCATCAGCAACATATGAAAAGTAATTTCTGACCGCTCTTTCCTTATAGACTTGTTGAAGGGAGGAAGGAATGAGGGAAGAAAAAGGAGACAAGCATTTATTAAGCACCTACCATATGCTAGGTTTGAGGCAGCTAAATGGCTGAATGGATAGGGAGCTGGGCCTAGAGTCAGGAAGACTCGAGTTCAAATCCAGCCTTATACACTCACTAGATGTGTGACCCTGGGCAAGTCACTGAACATCTGTTTGTCTTAATCCACTGGAGAAGGAAATGGCAAACCACTCCAGTATCTTTGCCAAGAAAACCCCACGGACAGCATTGGTGTGCTATGGTCCTTGGGGTCACAAAGAGTCAGACATGACTCAATGATTGAACAACAAATATGCTAGACACTGTGCTAAGTGCCTTGCACACAGCTCATTTGATCTTCACAATAACCCTGGGAGGTAGGTGTCATTATTTCTCCATTTTACAATTGAAGAAACTGAAGTAGACTGAGGTTAAGTGACTTGACCAAGGTCACGACAAGTGTCTGAGGGGAGATTCGAACTCAGGTCCTCCTGACTCCAGGCCAAGTGTTCTCTATCCACTACACCACCTAGCTGCCTGGAGAAGACAAAGAGAAGAGAAGAGTGTGGGAGAAAAACTGAGAGAAAGAGAGGAGAGAACAAGAGAGAAGGAGAGATAAAAGGAGAAAGGGAGAAATGGTGGCAGGGAGAGAAGGTATAGAGGGCTGGGAGGGAGGAAGGAAGTTTCCCCTAGTCTGGAGAGGGGCCAATCCCCCTGGAATGAATTTCAGGAATGATGAACTGAGGGGAGGGGGTGGATGGAAGATCCTGAGCCTTCTTCTGAACTGTACCAGAGGTTAGATCTCAACTTCCCTTAAACATTCTAGTTCAGAGGAACCTGAGAGGCTCTTGGGACAGTAGGGAAGAGCCTAGGGGAACAGACCTGGGGCCTGGCAGTCTTCCCCCTCCCTAAGCCCCACCCCAGCCCCAAATTCACACTACCAGGTCCAGGAAGGTATGGAGCAGCCTCTGTTTGTACTGCTGGAGATCAAAGGCCTGGGTGTAGTTGAGGAAGAGCAGGGCTCCTGAGGAACAGGAAAAGAGGAAAACTGTGGACCCCTCCTCCTCTGGGGAGCCCACAGGGATTTACCCACCACCCAACCCATCTCTATGTGCCTGCCCCTCAGCTGTCCCACAGCAGGTTTCCAGAAATCGCAGGGCATATGTAAGAGCTAGGGCTGCTCTTGAAGAGATGAAAAAGCCCCAGGTTGGAAGTCAGGACACCTGAGAGGTCTTGTGCCAGCTCTGGTCCTGATTTGCTGTGTAATTATGGACTTCCCCTCACAGAGTCCAACATCTTCATCTACCTAATGAGGGAGTTGGATTATCAGGGGTGGGGAACCTGTAGCCTCAAGGCCAGATGTGGCCCTCTAGGTCCTCAAGTGTGGCCCTTTGACTGAATCCAAATTTCAAAGAACAAAATTCCTTTTATTGAGGGGACACCTGGACTAGATCATCTCTGAGATCCACTGACTCTTCATAGATCTGGAGTTGATATATACCTATAGAGGTACGACTTGTTTCCCCCGTTAGAATGTAAGCTCCTTGAAGGCAATAATGCCAGGCTGGATGAATCAAAAGCTGGAATTAAGGTTGCCAGGAGGAATTTCAATAATTTCAGATATGCAGATGATAACAATCTGATGGCAGAAAGTGAAGAATTAAGAAGCCTCATGATGAGGGTGAAAGAGAGTATAAAAGCTGGCTTGAAGCTTAACACCAAAAAAATAAAGATCTTGGCAACTGGTCCCATCACTTCCTGGCAAATAGAGGCAAGAAATGGAAGCAGTGTCAGATTTTATATTCTTGGGCTCAAAGATGGAGACTGTAGCCATGAAATTAAAAGATACATGCTCCTTGGAAGGAAATCTTTGGCAAATCTGGAGAGTATATTAAAAAAGCAGAGATATCACCTTGCTGACAAAGGTCTGAATGGTCAAAGCTATGGGTTTTCCACTAGCAACATATGGCTCCGAGAGTTGGACTTTAAGGAAAGCTGAGCACTGCAGAATTGATGCTTTCAAACTGTGATGCTGGAGAAGATTTTTGAGAGTCCCTTGGACAGCAAGAAGATCAATATTTAAAGAAGTTAATTCAGGCTCTTCATCAAAAGGTCAAATACTGAAGCTGAAGCTTAAATACGTTGGCCACATAGTGAGAAGATGGGATTCACTGGAAAGAGAAAGGTTGGGAAAAGTTGTTGGGAAAGGTTGAAGGCAAAAGGAAAAGGGGATGGCAGAGGATGAAATGGATAGATGGTGTCATGGAAACAACAGATATGAACATGGACTGGCTTCAAGAGATAGTGGAGGATAGAAAAGCCTGGTGGGCTATGGTCCATGGGGACACAAAAAGTTGGACATGACTGATGCGCTGAACAACAACGCTTAGGACAGTGCCCAGAGAACGTAGCGAGTGTGGAATAAATTCTTGTTGGTTGAGTCTGTCTCTGAGAGTGAAGAGATATCCTCACTATGCCCCCTCTCAGGGTCCCCCACTTACCACAGACCTCACAGCACTGGCCCACGGGCCTCAGGGCTCCTTGGCATGCAGGCTTGGGACAGCGACCTCCGAAGGTCTGGAGCACAAAGGCACAGATCCAGGCTTCGACCTGGAATGGCATTCATCAAGTACGCTCAGCAAACACCCAGAATCCCTCATGCCTTTGCTTGTGGATGTCAGGGAGAGGATGAGGGTACACAGATGGAGGGTCCTTAACCTTGAGCCTCCAGGGAGTTCACAACCTAGTCCAGGAGGAGGGGGGATAAGAGGTGGACAGGTAAAACCATGGAATAATAATGTGGAGTGTGATCGAAGTCATGAGAGAGGGTCAAAGTGTGTGAGCGTTCAGAGGAAGGAGGAATCTGGTCCAGCCGGGGGAATTAGGGAAAGTTTCCCAAAGGAAATGGAGCCCGAGCTAAGCCTTGGAGGACAAGAAGAATTTCAAAAGTCACACGGGGGTTGGATTCGAGGATGTGAGAAGGCATTCTTAGGCATTATTCTTTCCTTTCTCTTTTGATTGTCATCCCCTTCCAAGTCCATCTCTTATCACTTCCCATTTGGACAGCTATAGGGCTGTCTTCCCACCAGGTCTTCCCAAGCCAAACCACCATGTACATACTCTCTGAGTCACCTTCCCAAGACTCAGATCTGACTACTACTTGGCTCAAAAATCAATCAGAGACTCCCCATTGCATTCCAAATCTTCCCCAATCAGCCTTCAACCTACCTTTCTGGATTTGTCGAATGCTACCCCCCTCGCCTACTCCATTCTAGTTCATCAAAACCAAACAATACAGTGAACTTTTCTGATTGTATGTGCAATATCCCATACCCATAGTCTCCCACATGTGCAGTGAAGGGAAAGGTGCATCTTCTCAATGCTTTTCCAGGGCCAAGAAGGGCTATTAGAATTATACAATATTCAATTTTGTTTATCTTGTTGGTGTTCTTTCTGAACTAAATGATTTCTAAGTTCTCTTTCAGCTCTGCACTGAGATCGGAAGTGTAGGGCGTTCCAGGGCTCACCTCATCATTACCACACTCACAGCCCGAAGGGTCCTCGCAGGGATAGGGAGCCAACCTCAAAGAACCAGCTCCATGGAATTGTAACTTCCCAGTGCTGCTGGCCAGGTAGGCAGCCAGCTCCTGGTCCGTGTTGAACTTCTGTAGGACAAAGACCCCCCCATCCCCAGAATTACTGTAAACAATAATATTAATAACCCCTTTGACAGATGGAGAAATGGAGGCCTAGAAGAGTGAACAGAGGTAGTTGTCCGAAGTCATATAGCTAGTGAAGCTTCTTTTTGTAGAGGTAGGGAAGGGAAGAGAGACAGACAGATAAAGACACAGAGATAGAGACACAAAGACACAGAGAGAGACAGAAACAGAGAAAGAGAGTGGGAAGCAGGGAGAGAGAGGTGGGAAAGAGAGGGAGAAGAGAGAGGGAAGGACGGGGTAGAAAGACAGACAGACTCTGACTCAGTATAAGCTTATAGCTGAGTCTAGGGTTATCGGTACATGGATTGGTCTTCTTTTTTTCTATCCCTATTGCATGATCTACTCTTTTAGAATAAACACTTGCTCAAAATGAAGACTATTTAAAGGAGAAGGCAACTACTGAGATAATAATTTGCCAGGCAGTTTGAGGCAGGGTGGAAAGAGGATAAATTCACCAGGTCCCAATAACAGTGACCATCTGGAAATGGCAAAATTCCTATCCAAGTAGATCCTTAAGTGGGACAGTGAACCAAAAATGGCTGCAGCTGCTTTTGATTATATTCAATTCAGTGTAGCCGTGAGCTTCACGTGCAATTAGCTGGTCACTGATGAGGATGTGTGCCTGTACTTCTAGGCCCCCCGCCCCCTTCAGGAGCTCCAAAGTTCCCAGGCTTCCCTTCCTCTCCCTTTCCCTCAATACAATATCCTCCTCCCATTATCTTTCAATCCCTCTTTCCAGTAGGGAAAAATTATACTTCCTATTAGTAAGGGATGCTAATAAGAGGCCATACTAGTCAAAGACGATCAGGACTAAAATCTTTATCCCCTGACTACTAATTTAGGGTTGTCTCCACTGCTCCACACTAACTTTTTATGTTACCCTAGTAAAGGATGCATTCTGGATGATCTTTAGATGGGGGAGGGTGGCTGAAGCTCTCACCACCTAGGGAAGGGAAACAGATCCAGGCCCCTGGTTTGTATGGTACACTACCCAGAAACTCAACCCCACTCACCTGGCCCAGAATGGATATACTATGGAGGCTGATGGTCCGGCCACCAGCCCCCCAGGTCCACACGGAAGGAGGTTTCTGGTGGGAAGATGACATCATCATGGCGACAGGGGATAAGTTCAGCATCCACAGAGAAGAGGTGGTCACTGTTTTCTAGGTCTGTATGCCACAAGGAGGGGTCATACCAGCTGTACCGATCGGCATTTAAGAAGTGGATGTTGTGATCTAAGAAAGAAGGGCAAAGACAATATTGCCAGCATGGGCCAAGCCAGAGGCCCTGAGGTTGAGATATGGGTGTTATCCTGGCATCTGTGGTACTGAACAAGGCAGGCAATAGTCCTAATTGAGGGCCCTATCAATCAGTTAATCAACAACTAAGTGCTTACTACTGGGCTCTGGTGATTCAAAAACAAAAATGAAGCCATTCCTGCCACCAAAGAGATCACATTATTTGGGGGAATGCAACATGCGACAAATCTATAAGATTGTAAAAATGAATATGAGCTAATTTGAAGGGGATAGGAGAAAAAGGTAGGAGCGGTTGGGGGCATGGTTTCATGAATACAGGCACACTGATACACTGAGCTATAAATTGGTCCAGACGTTGTGGAATTCTATTTGCATTTATGCTAAGAAAGTGACTAAAGACAAAAAGAAAGGCCTCACATGCACTGAAATACTCCCAGAATCTCTACAGTAGCATCTTTCTAGTAACAAAGAACTGGAAACAAGGCAGATAATCACCCACCGGGACTTGGTGAAATGAACTATGGTATATGAATGTGACAGATAGTACTGGGCTGTAAGACTGTGAACTCAGAGAAGCACTGGACGACTTATGCGAACTGATCAGGATCAGGAAAACAATATGCACACTACTAAAACAATTTTTAAAAAAGCAATAACAAAAATAAAAATTGAATTACAGCAAAGTTTGCCCCTAAAGAAGAGATATGAGAATGTTAGCCCCCCCCCTTTTTTTGCAGATATGAGAGACTGTGGGTGAGGAAAAGCGCATGTGATGTTGGACTGGGTCAATGTGTTGGTTAATTTGGCTTAACTTCTCATCCCCTCATTTCTTTTTATTATAAGGGATGACTCTGGGAGAGGGAGGAGGGGGTTTGATGATGCAAAGGTAATATAAAAATGAGTTCTCATAAAAAGTTATAAAAATTTTAAATGAAAATAAAATGAAAATCTTCATATAGAAGGTAGAGCTTGACATGAGCTTTGAAGGAAACTAGAGATTCTCAAAAGTCGAGTTGAGGAAGGAGAGTGTTCCAGGCATGGGGAACAGGCTGAGGAAAGGGACAGAGACTGGGACACTCAGAACTGTTTGCTGATCCCTATTCTAGGTACTATGGGGGAAGAAATAAAAAATAGGGATTAAATCCCACCTTCAGGGAGCCCCTGGTCTGATGGAGGAAACATGGCCTTGCCCTGGGAGGACCCCAGCATTCTTTTTTTTCTTTTTTGATGAGGCAATGGGGTTAAGTGACTTGCCCAGGGTCACACAGCTGGTAAGTGTTATGTGTCTGAGGTCGGATTTGAACTCAGGTCCTCCTGACTCCAAGGCCGGAGCTCTATCCACTGCACCACCTAGCTGACCCCAAATGTGGTTGGTTTTTTTTTTTGGTTCTTCGTTTGTTTGTTTGTTCTTTAGGCAATTGGGGTTAAGTGACTTGCCCAGGGTCCCACAGCTAGTAAGTGTCAAGTGTTTGGTCTGAGGCCAGATTTGAACTCAGGTCCTCCTGACTTCAGGGCCGGTGCTGTAACCACTGCACCACCTAGCTGCGCCCCCCCACCCCAGCATTCTTTAGGATGAAGGCTGGTGCCCATTCTGAGCAAGCCTTGTTATATACCACCTGAATCTGGGCTGGGATCAGAGGCTTCATTAATTGCCGCAAAGCCAGCACCAGGAGCCAAGATAAACTCTCCATCTAGAGGGAGGTGCTGAAAGAAACAAGAAGGGAAAAGAAATGCAAGTGATCAACAATCATCCTTTCAAATACTCCAAATCACTCATAGTAATAATAGAGAGCTTTCACATAGTACCATAAGACTTATAGCATGCTTTACATATTATCCCATTTTTTTGTTTTTGTTTTTTTTAATTTTTCTCTTTTATCCCATTTGATAAGAGAAACGCAAATTAAAACATGTCCAAGGTTTTGCCTCACATTTGGCAAATTGAAAAGAGATGATAAAAGATGGAAACAATGAATGCTGGAGGGGCTGTGGGAAGATCAGCACACTAATACACTCTTGATGGAGTTGTGACTTGGTCCAGCCTTCCTAGAAAACCATTTGGAATGATTTAAGAAAAATCTCTGAACTCCTCATACTCTTTGACCCTGCAACTCCACTACGAGGCTCATACTCTCTAAGGAGGCTAAAGATAAAACGATCCTACATAGACCAAAATATTCAATGCAGCACTTTTTGTGACAGCAAAAACCTGGAAACCGAGTGGGTACTCACCCACTGTGGAATGGTTGAACAAATTATGGTACATAAAGCTAATGAAACACCCTTGTGCCATAAGAAAACGAATATGAGGAATCCAGAGAAACATGGGAAGACTTATACGAGTGGATGCAGAACAAAGAAAGTAGAGCCAAAAGAACGATATACATAACGATATCAAAAATGGGAAGGAAAACAATGCTAAAAGATATCAGAAATCCAGTCAATTCACTGACCGATTACAACCTCAGAGGTCCAGTGAAGATATGTGTTTCCTTCCTCTCAACGGAGAGGTAGTGTTTGAAATGAGGTAAACACTGTCAGCCACTTCTTTGTTACAGGGCAAGGGAGGCATTGCTAGGGAAACAACATAAAAATCAATAGAATATTTTTTAAATGCATAAGGGAGGCAAGTGATGCAGATCAGAAGACTTGAGTTGTATTCCTGGCTTTGTCCCCGGATCATTGTATGATATTGGGCAAATAATTTCTCCTTCCTGGGTCTCAGTCTCCTTCTTTGTAAAAAAAAAAAAAAGAAAAGCAAATGGGGGAAAGGAAGGAAGATTGGACCAGTGGTCTCTAAGGTCTGTTTTTTTGTTCTACCTTTCCAACAAATTTTATTATACGTTATTCCCCTTTGTACACTCTCTGATTCAACCCATTTTGCCTTCTTGCTTTTCCTCACACACACTGTTCTATCTCTCATATTTGTGTGGCTGGGATAGATTCCTGGGATATTTTCCTCTTCCTCTTCCTGAGATATATTCTATCTTCACCTCCCTCTCTTAGAATTCATTCAAAGCTTGTCTCAAATGCTGTTTTCTACATGAGGCCTTTCCTTACCCCGCCCCTCCCCAGTTTTTATTTCTCTCTCTCCTCCTCCAATCACCTTATATTTATTTGGTGTCTATTTTGCATGCTGATATGCATATGGAATGGCACACTGGCCCAGCCCTTAAAAACACATGCAATCTGCTATGTGGATATTTGATGAGTCAGCTTCTGAACACGGGTCCTGGAGGGCTTCACTTTGCATTTTGGAACGTGGCTATTTCCTGTCCACTTCCTGTCAGGGAAGGGAATTAGAGTCTAAGAAGTCACAAAGATGGTGAGGGGGACAACAGAGAAATCCATTAACATATTCTTTCCAGAGGCAATCACACTCATGAGTTTATTACAATTCTCAGAGAAGGAAGGGGAAAGAGAGGTGAGTGGGAGAGAGTGGGAGCTCGGTGACTGGGTAGAAATGAGAACACAAAGACCCAGGGGTAGCCCAGTGGTTTAGGTTCTCCCAGGCTCCTCCTCAAGTGGTCCGGTTTGGAGAAAGGAGCAACAGGAGAAGGCATCAATGATGGTGAGATCACAGGTCCATTGAGGTACAAAGGAAAATGGTCTTCAGATTGGGAAGCACAGGACAAAAATGATGAACAAGGTCTCAGTGTCTTAGATAAGTGAGTCAGTAAGAGCACACCTAGCTTCCCTCAGTGAGTTCAGGTCTCCAGACCTAAGTGAACTGTAGTCTCAGGGCACTTAAAGATCAGATGGATGCGACTGCTGGACCACTGTTTTGTTGTTTTTTTTTTTTTAGGCAATTGGAGTTAAGTGACTTGCCCAGGGTCACACAGCTAGTAAGTGTCAAGTGTTGGGTCTGAGGCCGGTGGACCACTGTTAATGACCTTAGAAAAACTGCAGAAAACCAGACAGGCCTTAGAACTAGGCAGAAGCAAATAATAGTATGGTTTCCAAAAAACGGGAAGAGTTAGTAAGTTATGAGCTGGAGGTCTTACCTTTGACTCCTGGAAAATTTTACAGCATATAATTAAACTATGGTTAAGGAGCATTCAAAAAAGCAAATCACAATCTCTAAAAGTCAGGTCACACCAGTCTAACTCATTTCCTTTTTTGAGAGGAGGGATTAGACTTATTTTGCCTGGCCCCAGAGGTCAGAATGAGGAGTACTGGGTGGAAGTGACCTGGGGTGGTACTGACAGGTTGCATGAGTTTTCCATAGTGAGGTAGCTGGTGGTATAGTGGAAGGAGTGCTGGGCTTAGAGTCAGGAAGACCCAAATTCAAATCCAACCTCTGACACTCACTGTGTGACCTTGGGCAAGTCACTTAACCTGTTTGCCTCAGTTTCCCCATCTGTAAACTGGGGATAATAATGGCACCTACCTCCCAGGGTTGTTGTGAGGATCAAATGATATAATAATTGTAAAGCACTTAGTAAAAAAAAATGTGCCTGGAATATTGCAAGTGCTAAATGAATATTAGATATTGTTATATATTATAAGGGCTTTGTGGTATCAGAGGAAAGAGGGCTTGAGTCAGGAGCCCTGGATTTGTTTCACAGACCAGTACTTACTAGTTTTGTGATCTTGGGCAATTTATTTCAACTTTCTGAGCACAAGTGTCTTTATTTATGAAATAATAATCTTCGGACCACTGCCTCAACTGGGCTGTTTCAACACTTATCAGAAAAGCACTCTTTAAACTTCAAAGTTCCACAGAAATGGGAACTGCCATTATCATTGTCGTTCTTCACGGGATCCTCCTTTAAGACACCAGGAAGTAGGAAAGCAATCAAAATATTGTTTTTTGTTTTTGCAGACATGAGGCTGCGACTCATGCAACTGGTTATATTTCTATGAAACATGAGGAAGGTGGGGTTTGGAGGAATGCAGGATGGTCACTGAAGGACTAACCTTGACCCTAACCAGAGTGTTCCCTGGGCCAAGTGCAGGGTGAAGGCTCTATCACCCTCCTATCATCCCTGACATATACCCATAGCGGCAGGGAGACCTAAGGAAGAGCTTCCTGAATGTTAAGGGGCGTAGGAAGCTGCAGAGCTGTAGGGAAGGGTATAGAGAGTAGGGGTGAGACACTTCTGGAGGCAAGGGGATGCCTAGGATGACTTCTAAGGGTTCTCTCAGCAGCTAGGAGCCTAGCCCTCTCCCTTTGCATTCCAAAAGGTGCAAGAAGGGCTCTGGTCAGCAGATGGCAGCAGTCCGCTAAATCAACTTCCATTCTGGAGCAAATCCAGAATGGTCGCTAAATTCCTTTACCCAGAAGATCACTGGATTATAGGATTTAGAGCTGGAAGCAATCACTTAGAGACTCTCTTGTCCAAACCCTTCATTTTGCGGATGAAGAAACTGAGGCATGGGGGGCGGGGAGGGACTTGTCTTAAGGTTGCAGAGAGCCAGTGACAAAGCCATGGTAGAAGGCCAGGTTTCCTGCCTATCAGCCAGTTTGGAGCTGGGGCTCTGATGAAGACACACACATACCATGATAAGGCAGGGGCAGAGTCCTGAGATATCTGTGACTAAGGCCATAAGTCAACAAACGTTTATTAAATGTCTACCACGTGCAAAGCACTGTGATTAGTGCTGGCCAAAGAGGAATTAGGAGGAGTTAGGTTAAAGAGGGACCATACAGCTAGAGCTGGAAGGGACCATAGAGGTCACTGAGTCCAAACCCGTCATTTTTTACAGATGAGGAAACTGAGGCATGAGGAAATGAAGTCATTTGCTCAAGGCAGTACAGATGTAAGTGGCCAGGATTTGAACCTGCATCCTCTGACTCCCAATCCAATGTCCTTCAATTTAATAAGCAATTACTGTGTTAGTATATGCAAAGTCCTATAGGGGATGATAACATCAAGGGATAAGCTACCTTGTGAGATAGGTTGTATAAGTATGATTATCATCCCTGTTTTACAGATGAGAAAAACAAGACCAAGAAAGCAAACTAGGGACACATAACTAGTATCAGAGACTCTTGGGAAAGCAGACTCAGATCTTCTGAGTCATAAACAAGTATGATTTCCGAATGGAAATTTACCCAGCTCTTTGCAAAGATCAAATCAGGCTGGTCCTGATCTCAAGCATCGGCTGCTTTCTGAGTCAGAAACCCAGAGTTTCAGCCTTGGCTCAGATATTTCCTTGCCTGAGATTCTGTTTTCCAATCCGTACAATGGGAATTAATCTACCACTCCTTTACTTGGAGGGTTATTGTGAGGAAAAAGCTTTGTAAACCTGAAATACTTCACTGTGTCTGTGCTTTCATCCATATGGGAATTCTCTCCAACAGTACAGATCTCAACCCACCCACGTCTTCTTCGCCTGTGCCCCTCTTGTTCACATCCTCCTATGAATCTTTCAGAAGTTCGTTCAGGGTATTGTGGGTCTCCAGCTTTGCTTCATTTTAATTTTGGAGGTCCCAGTATAGCATGTATTTAAAAACATTTATTACTGTTTAGTCATTTCAGTCTGACTCTTCATGACCCTATTTGGGGTTTTCTTGAGAAAGATACTGAAGTGGTTTGTCATTTCCTTCTCCAGCTCATTTCACAGATAAGGAAACTGAGGCAAACAGGATTAAGTGACTTGCCCAGGGTCACAAGAACTAGTGAGTGTCTGAGGCCTCATTTGAACTCAATTAGGTAAGTCTTCCTGACTCCAGAGCCAGCACTGTATCTACTGTGCCA